TTCTTGCCATGTGAACACAATAATAGAAAAGCTGACAGGATCGCTTTTCTAAATCTACACAACAAACACAAACCACTTGCGCACAGCAAACACAAAGTAAATCTACACAACAAACACAAACCACTTGCGCACAGCAAACACAAAGTAAATCTACACAACAAACACAAACCACTTGCGCACAGCAAACACAAAGTAAATCTACACAACAAACACAAACCACTTGCGCACAGCAAACACAAAGTAAATCTACACAAACTTATACGGTGAGCCAAGGAAGATATTTTACTCAATGCGAGCGGTGGGGCACAAGTTATGCGTTAGGGCCCGGTCACACAGGCACTCAAAAGTAGGGGATCCGCTGAAGCGACGCCGCAGGAGCGGAAAATACCATGGCAACTGCAAGAATTTTGCTACTCCTTCTTTTTCCCTCCCCTTACTTTTATTTATCGCCGTGGTTAGCAATCACCCACTCTCTTAACATTGGCCGGTGTTTCCACCGAGTCTTGAGATGTTGTAATAAATATATAAAATATATAAGAAGCAGAACTACGGCTTCAGCGGAAATTCAAATCCACTGCCTCCAACATTTTGGGAGCGAAACTCTCCCTTCAGCGGAAAACACCACGGTCTGCTGTATATGGACTTGCTACGAGAAATTTTGTACTCGTATGATGTCCATGCAACAAAAATATAGTATGTGCAAGATAGTCATTGACCTCGTCTATTCTCCGTACCGTATGCACCACAGTCCACTTTATTCTCATTAACCGCCGAAGGAGGAGTTTGCCCTGTTTGTGTGTGTGACCATACACACGTGGTTCCGCTGAAGCGACACCAGGCTCGCTGCCGCGGAACCTCGCCGCCGAAGCGGAACCCCAGTGCATATGTGACCGGGCCCTTAGCGTCCTCCAACAAAACCAGGTTCTGAACAGTCAGACATGCGCAAGGTAGCACCAGACTGACAAGGCATACTGAGACATTTCACGGCAAGGAAGTGAGCTTGAGCACTGATCTAACGCACAACTTGTGCCCCACCGTTTTCCGTGTTTCCGTTTAACACAAACTTATGACATAAAATCTACACTGTTGTACAAAAATAACTGAAGCAAAAGGCTGTGTACGTAGTACCTGTAACTGAAACGGTTTCATTCATTTCAGCGATCATCAGACAGCGGCATTTCGCATTCACTACTGCATTCTCTACGAGCGGACCTTTCGCCTCTGTTGTATGTGTATACTGCTCTGCACATTCGCACATTGAGCACTCTGCTTCGAGCTGCCTTGACACCGGCCTTGTTCGTGTCCTGCGCAGATAGTGATCTTTCCCAAATCCATTGAGGTGATCAGTCGCATGAAGAAGCCTCCAAGCCTGCCCAGAGTCTTGAGCAACATGACTGCAGCAGCCGCAGCCAACCTCACCACCAACTACACTGACGCTAACGTCAAATCGTTCCCATGCCGATCCCGTGGGTGTGTGTGTGGGGGGGGGGGGTTGCGTGCGTGTGTGGGTGGGGGGGGGGGGGGTTGCGTGCGTGTGTGTGTGTGGGGGGGGGGGGGGGGTTGCGTGCGTGTGTGTGTGTGGGGGGGGGGGTTGCGTGTGTGTGTGGGGGGGGGGGGGTTGCGTGTGTGTGGGGGGGGGGGGGGTTGTGTGTGTGTGGGGGGGGGGGGGTGCGTGCGTGTGTGTGTGGGGGGGGGGGGTGCATGCGTGTGTATGTGTGCATGTGTGTGCGTGAGTTAGTGCGTGCGCAGCGGAATTCCTAGAAGGCTAAGCATATCGCAAAGGACGAAACAGTACCGTCCGCAGATTGAGTAATTTGCAAATACAATGTGTTTCTGGTGGCCAACCGCTTTCCAAACTAATCTTGTTTGGCGCTTGCTGTCTTCTGTGTGGCGTAACGTTTTTTCACTGGCAGATATCTACCCGTACCGACCTCGGCACTGGAGACTTTCCTACTCATACTGGTTTATCTTGACCTTGATTCTACTGATGCTTGTTCCGTCCCTGTGCTATCTGTCGCGGTCGCGGAAAGTTCGTTACGTGTGGCGACGCCATCGAACCCACTCCGCCAGCCAATCCGGTGGTGAGTGCAGTGACCACATCAAATTTGATGCTGTGACGTGTGGCTTGTGCGGCTGTCGTGTTGGCCTGAAATGTGTCCATTTTTGGTGTCCTCCTCTCCTGCAAACTCTACCCGTTGTTCTGAGCTTGTCACGCTGTTCAGCACTTTGCCGTGTGTTTGTGTGACAGCTGTGACACTGTCAATTACTCAGCTACCGTGTTTTCCTAGGTTGAGTCTGAATGAGTGTGTGATTCGAATCTTTAGGAATGTTATGTTCAACTGAATTGTAAATATATATAATAATTCCATTGTCAATTAAGACTGTAGGGTCAAGAGAGAGGTCACTTGTTTCAACGAGCCGGACAATGCGGGAGTGGTATTCATCTCATGCGTACCATTGCGTTTGCCTGAAATGCCTCATCAACAGAGCTGACCTACCCAACCAAGGTGGCTTGCTCTCTTGGTGATGGTGCTTAGCAGTTAGCACCTTGTGCTGGCAGGAATGAATTTTCAACCTGCTGATGTAACGCTGATCTATTGTCATCTTGTACAAAACTGAGCTGTGGCATGCGCTATTCTTTCTGTCTTCCTGAACTGAACTGTCCTTCTTTCCTTCGTTTTGTTTCTCTGTTTTTGTTGTCTGGCCAATCTTGAGCAGGTTCCACATCCGGTTCGATACCGCCACCATTGTATGACAACCTGCAGAGCATTGAGTATCCACAGTCACCGCCGAGCACTCGCGCTACCACTACTAGCACAAGAGCAGGCACCGGTGCCACAGGCAGTACGGCTCAGAGCGGCGGTGGCGGCGGCGGGCGACGCCTGCTGACCCGCTCCAGCGTCTCAACAATAGCCAGCGGCGACGACATGGATAACATACCCTTGGCTGCTGCGGTGGACAGCACCCTGTGATGTACACATGCACCGTGCTGAACCAGTCCCGTTGGCCAGGCCATGCCTAGACCAACTCTGTGGACACCAGCATACGTTTACTGCTGAGGAAGTCCTGCGTATGAGTCATAATATTATGACAGGTAGGCATGACCTCCTCAGCAGCAAACACATGCTGGTGGCCACAGATTTGGTCCAGGCATGGCCTGGCGAACCAGACCGGTTATCACACACAAACTGCATGAAAGGCTAGGGTATGGCCGGACCAACCAAGAACTGCTGCTTCCGTGGATCTTGGCACACATGACACCGAGTATCCGTTGTTCCCACTGCCAGTCCAGTAACCCTCTACTCTCTGTTAGCCCGCCGTCAGACAGAACTCTGCAGGCGGCCACATGGCAATGTACTGATATATTCTTCCATTTTGCTGAGTGAAATCCAGAGGCCGTGAGCACCACTGCACCCATGCAAAGCACAGTATTCGCAGGGCGTGGGCTGTGCCGTGCCCGGTACTCACACAGCGCCAGGAACTCGCTGAACGGCACAGTACAAACATTGTATATCCCCCCCCCCCCCCCCCCCCCCCCCAGAACCCCAACCGCTGAGTCCACATCTATCTCTAGGACTTTGTAGAACTGTCTATTCCCGTCCTTGCTAGTACTTGTAACATACTTGTACACTGTTAACTTGACACTAGGATATTAAACACGCTAACAAGAAAGAGACTTTTCTATTTCTAGGCCGAACGCAACATTCACCAACCTGCGATCTCCGCTCTAGACCTCTTGGAGTGATTTTCTCCATCGATGTTACTCCCTTCATCTCTGTTCTGTTCTTGCTTACAAGGAGAAGCCCTTGACAGGCCTGTCCAACCTGTGTAGTATGGGGAATTGTTTTAGAGAATTTTAAATAGATATTCAAGTTCATTGTTTTCCATCCTCACTTTGTAGACATTTCCACGATTACAGCGGAGGACTAGGCATCAGCATTTTTTTAAGGTTTTTATTTATTTATTTTATTTACCCCGCTCTCAATTGCCAGTATACCAGTACCGTACATTATAATCATGTGCTTGTTCAATAGTCTGCCAAGGCAGCAGGCGTAGCTCTGACAGTATCCTACTATCATGGCTAAAATAATTTAAAATGTCGCTGTGTCGTGCAATCAGGACCGCGAAAGGCTAAGCTTATCTATTTTTGCGGATTCTAGCACCAGGGATTTGTCCATACCCGGCCCCCAGGTGTGAAGTCCCTGGAAAGGCTCTCCCACAGATTCCAGTACAAAGGCCACGGGCAAGTGTCCCACTGAGATGCGGTCGCTCGCCCGGACCGCTGGGACGCGGACACCTCCGAAGAGCAGCCTGTGACGTTTATTTTTTATGAAAGAAAATCCGCAAAAATAGATAAGCTTGTCCCTTTAGTCCTACCCATCAGGACCATGCCGCCGGTCTCATCATTGCAATATTGGCTCATGTGATGAGGGCTGCGTGCCATTCACCCGTGCATTATGGCATAGGGTAGGGGCTTACTTGGTCGCTATGATCACAGATAGCACACCTGTGGAGTTGCAGTTGCATTTGGAGTTAAACGACTGGTCTATCGAGGCGACCAGTTTTCTGTGCAAAATGTTTCAAACTACACACTGTGCAACGATAGCATGCTCTTTAAAAGTAATCTTTCATCTTCGTTCTTGCAACAGCCGATAGCCGTGTGGCACATGCCGGTACAGGCAAAATACCGGCGGCAGAAGTATTTAAAACTGAGAGCGTACACATCTCACAACAGACGGTACAAGTGTTGACAGCCCTGCTAGCCACATCGTTCCATGCGGCTCTGTTCTGCGTCAACAATCCGTAAACACGTTCACACCGCAGCAAAGATGCATGGCTGAGCACACAATCATAACGCGCGCACATGCACGCACGCGCACACACACACACTGTAACACAGAGACACGAGTATACCCGCACAGAACGCATCCATGCACAAGTTTTCGCGTGTGCACACACACACACACACACACACACACACACGTATACTATGGGTGAAATCAGGCTGGGCAGCATTTTCAACAAGTTCTTGAGCAGATTTATAAAAATTATGCAGCATGCTGTCCGCAGATTGAGTAAAAATTAATAGGGATTTTTTGAATAATTTTGCCTGCGCACACTTAACCCAAATCTCTGCATGTCACTAGCATGAAACCATTGAGGGAAACAATATAGAGCAGACATCAATGTTAGACTCAATACTGAACACACATACCGAACATGTTACATGGATACTATTGGCTTAGCACAGGGGTGATCTTGTCTGGACACTCAAGTCGGGAAAAAAACTCGGCACGAGCGGCGTTGAATGGACGTTGCATAGGCAACGAGGTCAACCCAGTTCCTTTCTTTGATCGGGCCTACTGGCCAGTGTGTGCACAGTCTAGAGCTGGATGTGCGCTACAGCAGGAAACTAAACTTCTACCTAATTATGAAACTGAGCTTGTCGTCGTGGTGACGGCAAGGAGAATGGCTCGCCGTTAAGGTGCAGTATTGGCTGCACGCAGGCATCCACATGAGTACACCGCACTGGGCCTATCTATACTAAAACATATAAGAAATCGTATCTAGATATTGTTGGGGACGATCACTTGAATTCAGCCGTCATCTAGTGTGCAGCAGTTGGACCGGGTGGCTCGATCAGTGGACGGCAACTCGGCGTCCAGACTCCGGTCTTGTTATTATTGGCATTGTTATCCAGCAGTGGACGTCTAAACATCCATACAGGTTTGTATTTGTATTACTGCCGCCAGCGGGGTCGATAAGTGGACCGCGACAGATCAGCGCCCATACAGATCTTGTTGCAAATGCCGTCGTTGTCCATCAGTGGACGACAGATCAGCAGCGCCCGCACAGATCTTGTTGCAACTGCCGTCGTTGTACGTCTGTGGACACCTCAACATCCAGACAAGCTATCACCGCTGCTGTCACCGAGGTCGGTAAGTGGGCAATAGCTCAGGTCTTGTTAATGCTGTCATTGCTGTCCATCAGTGAACATCTCAACAACCAGACAAGCTACCACAACTGCTGCCACCGAGGTCGACAACTGGGCAATAGATCAGGTCTTGCTGCCATTGCTGTCCATCAGTGGACATCTCAACAACCAGACAGCTTGCATAACTACCGTACGGCCATCGTGGTAATGAAGAAAGAGGAAACCCGGAGAAGAGCAGAGCAGGGGAGATGGCAGTCGTCAATGGAGGGTCACAACACTCACGGCGGGACAGCAGCAGCGTAAACAGCACATGCGTATCCGTCTTCAGCGTGTCTACGGTCACTCAACAGACAGGCATGGACGCTATGTGACATGGCCGGTGGTTAGTACACAGTAGTCTATGTAGTACAAACTAGACATACATATCCTTCTTCACCGTGCTCAAGGTCACCCAACACAGTCTCTACAGCCAAGGTCACACAGCAACAGACAGGTATAGACACAACGCTACACAGCACTGCCTGCTCAACCCAATCCAACACACACACACACACACACTCACACACTAGAACGTAATTAAGAACGGTCGCCTGGCAAACACACCCGCAATGGTATCAGTCATCGTCTTCAAAACACGGCTCGCTCCGTATAAGCGGTGGTGGTGCAGAGAACTTGCTGCTTGACTGCAGCTCATCCAGTGTGGCCGACTTCGTCATGTTGGACTTGACTGTGGCCGAGACACCAGAGGGCACAGCGAACGCCTTCGTGGTGAGGACGTCCACCTCGCCGAGGGAACGAGAGCGGCTGGTTCGTCCCATACTCGCCGGCATCAAGCAGCCGTCGGAGTCCTCGTCGTCCGCCTCTAACTCTTTAACCGGCGATAGAGCCCCGGTTAGAGACTGCTCTTCGCCACTGTCCAGACTGCTAGCGCGTCCCGGCGAGATGCTGCGAGAGAGAATGTTCACGTTGTTCGGGCGGGTGCGTCGCGGGCTCGTCACCATGAGCGACTGGTACGTTGGCACGGTGACGTGCCGCGCGGGCCCGCTGGTTGCCAGGGGCGACACGGGTATGCCGCTGGCGTGGACGGGCGGCTGCGGGGAGGGTGAGCGACGTCGCAGCACGCTGGGCGACGGGGCAATGTCGTCCTCGGGGATGGGCTCCGGTGATACCTGCATGGTGGAGCCAGATGATGAATGGTAAGTGTGCACATGCAGCCACACACGATGCAGCCACACGCACGAGCGCGCGCACATGCAGGCGCACATGCAGGCACACATGCAAGCACACACACACACAGACGCACATGCAAGCACTCACACACAAATGCACACACACACACACACACACACACACACACACACACACACACATGCACGCACACATACACACAAACGTGATCAGTAACCAAATCTACCAATATGTACTTGGTTCACTCTGCTTAGCAGTTAACTTAATAACTGTCAAGCTGTGTGTGTGCGGTGGTACAAAGTTCTGGTGTTGAAACGAGCGTATCTATAACAACCGAGCGAACAGTTCCACTAATGAACGAGCTATCGAGCGAGTTAACGAGTTTCACTCATTCGGCAAAGAGGATTTTTATCAAATTGACAAATTCCGCAATTTCAGCGCTCATGCTGGGATTGCTGCTGCTTTTGACTGGCTTCACTTTGGACGGGTATTTGTTGCCGAGATGTTTTCAGTGCCATCTTTGAGCAGCCATTGTAAGAATAGACCGTTTTTCAAAGATTGCAAGTAGCTTTGCTCTATGGTACATTGCGGGGGAAAACATTCAAACGACTGAGCGTGACTTTCAGTCGAAGCGAAAGTTCACTAGATGCACTGACGGTACTGACTGTGAAGTGCACGCTGTATCATATACGCTGGTCATGAGTGAAAACGTGCTCGCCGCGCAAACGAGTTTTTGGCGAGCGAGCCAACGAGTACCCGGTGAGATCCTTTCAACACTAGTAGCACACACCTCATACCCAGGCTACACTGGGCTGGTGGCAAGCAACGGCCAGGCTCATGGATAATTGCAGAGCTGAACCCACTACACGGAGCTTATTGTGCAGAGACAAGCTCATTGACATTGCACCGATGTGAAATAAATGTAATGTACCGGTACATGTACTGAGAAAGGTGCCCACAGGCCATCACATGTGCATATTTTGCTGATTATAGTTCACTTGCATGTACGATAGTACGTCTGTGGGATAGTGTCTGCATCCATGTGACCATTGTGCATGGGAAAGTCCTTCCCCCACTGAACGCTATGTATACGTCTAATTCACAAGTAGCAGGACGGTACTGTTTTACTGGCATTGCCATCAGCAGTATCCCACTGATTAGCTAGCATTCTCTCATGGTTTTCATCCAGTGCAGGATTTCGGTTGCTCTGCTGCGTTCTTGCATTGCTGGTTTGCACGGCTCTCGCGTTAGTCAACATGCTGCTGCTAACACACTCTTGCCGTGTCGTCGGCAGCCCACATCTCGCAAGATAAGGTACCATCTCTTGCGTCCCTGCTGTGCGTCTGTTGTTTATCGTGTTCGTGTTTGTATTGAATTTGCTTTGTCCATTTTGTTTTGCTTGTGTTCGGGAGCACAGCCCCATGCTGTGTCATCAGTCGTGTTTAGTGTTGCAATCTCACACATCATCTTCTCAGTTTCAGTCCTGCCACTGGGACTACCAGCAGGAAGCCTTCTCGTTGATCATGCAAATAACTCGAGGCAAACGAGATCAGAAATCGACAGAAGAAGTACATTATAAAAGAGCTGGTCTGGTCCTTTGCAGTGCGTTTTTGTATGCTTTGCTGTAAGACGAAACGACCATACGGCTGCTGCATATTCCACCATCGGTCTCACGTACCCTTTGTATAAAACCATGAATGCTTTTGTTGTTAGACGATTTGACATTATAACATAGCAGATTCACACGTTGTCGGAATTTCGAGAGCACAGATTTGAAGTGATTCAGAAACGTTAGCCTTGAGTCAAACAGGAAACCCAGACGTGTAATGGTGGACACAACCTGTAATGGTCCGCTGTCTAGGGAGTATGTAGGACTGGTTCTGGTGGAAAGGACTGATGTTGCATCTGCCGGTGGGTTATTTTCGGCAATAGCATCCACCATCGATTCCTCCAGGGGTCCTGTAATGACCGGAAAAATGTCATGCAACAAGGTGCTGTGGATTTTATGGTTATCCCCGGATCAAGCGGAATCCTGTCATACTACGGCAGGTTGCACTGCCCTAAGGGCGTCCGCTTAGAGCAGTGTTTACTGTACTTCATCTCTGTGCGAACAAGAGTACATAAAAACCAGAGTGTGCAGCTCGGATGGGTTGCTGTCACGGCGGAATTCCGTGATTACATCATTTTAGTGATGTAGTGCGTACAAGCAGGATTCAAGCAGGTCTCTTTCTGCACAACTGCAGCTCAGTTGTACGCACTACGCCACTTCCCGCCTCAAATCTGCGCCAAATATGATGTAATCACGGAATTCCGCCGTGACAGACACCCATAGTGGAAAATGCCCCAAGCTGCACACTCTGGTTTTCATGTACTCTTGATGCGCCCATAAAGGTGAACTCACAGCTACTAATTCCATTCGGCTCGCCACACAGGGAAAGACCCCTTTTCGCCCATGACAGTGTTGGCGAAAGAGCACAGAGCCGGTGTGCCCGCCACATGTGGAACATGAAGGGAGACAGTGAAAAACGCACGGAATTTGCCCAGCGCGGTGTTATGCTGATGTCCCCTTGCGCACTGATATACAGGTACAGTGAACTTGGCTACTAATGACTGCGGGTGTAATTGACAATTCGCGAATACCCACAGAATGTCCATGCCCAGAGCAAAGTCCAATCTAACTGTAATACATATAAAACAGAGAGGTTCCAGGCTGTCCAAGAGAGTGCTCAATACCGAGACGAGAGGTAGAGCTGGTTCAAACAATAGGAGGACAGAGAAAGTAAAAACACTTCCTCTGTCCTCCTATTGTTTTAACTGTAATACATATAATGAGACTTCGGGTTAACGGACACTTCGCGACTAAGGACGCTATTCTGATGCCCCGCTGCCGAGTGTCGTTCTACGCAAAGTTGACTGTACATTATCTTACATCCTGACAGGCACTGACAAACACCAGGACTGATTACTTCTTGGTCTGGTAAAACAACAACAGACCAATCCGAGCATGCGCAATACAGTAGCCAACCTGTGTAGTAGATATGAGCCCCGGCCAGCGAAAACCAGCACTTGTGTACTTGATATCAATCATCAAAATGTGACGTCAAAGTTTGGGACGCGCAGTGAGCTGGCTTTTGAAGATTCTTTTTCGATCGAGTGGGTGTCTTTGTTGTCAAAGGAGTTTCAAGTGTCTTCAAATGTCTCTGGTCAATTGATTTTAGCGCTAGGTGAGAGCTCGTCACAAGGAGGTTGAGTTTAGACACAGCGATGGCGACAGGTGTCGCGACAAAGACTTAGGTCCAGAGTTGTCAGCGCGAGACTCCCTGTACGGAGCGGCGCTGAAAGTTAGTTCGCGATCGGAATTATTTGTTTGGTGGCGATCTTGCTGAGTTTGTCCAGCAGTGGCGAGTCTCATATGCATAGCAACGAAGAGCCCTCATAAAATCGACACTGGATACTGGTGGCGACGATAGTCAGTGCTGGAGTAATAGCGACTGCGAGGAGAAGCTGAATGTCGTCCCGCTGAGCGATCCTTATTTCTACATCGACAACAATGATGTTGCAGACACTGATGGAGGGCTTCTCACGGCGCAAAACAGAGCGTAGTATTATCAGTACTCTACCTTGCCAGATGACGCCAAGCTGGCTGCTGCCTGTGCTGAGAAAGGGGATCCCTAAAAACTCAAACCGGCTGAACGCTTTGGGGCAACATCTTCACGTGCTACAAAACGCGAGTATTCGCTCATATCATTGAAATACAATTATGCTGAAATCATGGTCTGAGTGAAAGTGTGCAAGAGAGTGGATGGCTGTGGTATTGGTGAGCACATCTATCAGTATGGCAAGCTTTGGGACAACGCTCAAACTGCCAGCACAGAGGTGCCTGAACACAATTTGGAAGGCCAGCCACCAATCATCGTTGTGCACTCTGGTGTTGTAAAGAAGGTAGTGATGTATACGGAATATCGTCACACTTCTGAACTACTCATGCATGCAGCACCAAGAGGGCAAGCCTGACTTGCATTCTATTTACTTACATGTACCTGTTCCACATCACAATCAGAAACTGTAGGATCAACTTGCATGGAATCACTAGGCATGGATGCTGCGCCAACTGTACGGAATCTTGACCTGTGTGACTTCAAACTCTATTTTCCATGCTTTCGCTTATCAGATTGTCACCAAACTTGATAACTTGAATGATTAATAGTGTAGAAACAATTTCGAGGGAAAAAATAATTTTTGAAAAAATTACACATGTTCAGGTTTCTGCTGGCTGGGGCTCATATATTACAACTTGCATATACAACAGCCGGCTTACCGTTTTGCTCCGTCGTCGTGAGGACGTAGCACACTCCCTGGAGTAGAGCATTCCTGCAGCCATGTCTGGTGACAGGTCTCCAAGACCTGCAGACAGCAACATATCAACATGCGTGCACACACACACACACACACACACGCACAGATATGCGCGCACGCACGCACAAACACACACACACACCACACACACACACACACACACACACACACACACACACACACACACACACACACACATATACCGGATTTCACAGAATATAAGTTGCACATTTTTACACTACACTTCAAAAGCAAAGAAGAGGGTGCTAGTAACAATCGGGTGTGGCACCCTCTTCTTTGCAAATATTATACTGAAATAAGTTGGCTCAAACGTGAAGATGGGGGTGCGACGTATAATCGAGCGCGCCTTATAATCAGGGAAATGCGGTACATGTACATGCATACTGCCGGCCAGTCACTGCACACGGCGTGTAACACGGTGAATCACTTGCTGGGTGAACAGCAAAAGGCTCTTGAGTAAACTACAGTCGTGTAGTTTTGATTCTGTGTGTGTGTGTGTGTGTGTGTGTGTGTGTGTGTGTGTGTGTGTGCGTGCGCGTGTGTGTGTGTGTGTGTGTGTGTGCGTGCGCGTGTGTGTGTGTGTATGCGTGTGCGTATGTGTGTGTGTGTGTGTGTGTGTGTGTGTGTGTGTGTGTGCGCGCGCGCGCGCGCGTGTGTGTGTGTGTGTGTGTGTGTGTGTGTGTGCGTATGTGTGTGTGTGTGTGCTCATGCGCACGCATGTGTATGTGGCGTGGTGTGTGTGTGTGTGCATGGTGTAGACCAGGTGTGCATTGAGGGTCGATTCGCACATCAGTGGTTTCGCCAGTTGTGTGGATAAGGCAATAATCAGGCACTAGTCTTGATCTGTTTAATTCAGATCCTGTCCGCTAGGAGAACATTTGACGGTGGGTGCACATCCAGTGCATTTGCAGATTTGCATGCTTCTCTTGCGACGGCCGTACGTGGTGGTGGTGGTGTGCGTACGTGTGCGTGCGAAGGTGTGAGTATGTATGTGCACACAAGAGCGTCTGTGTGTGTGCGTGTCCATGCGTGCATGGTTGCTTGAATATGTTTGTGTGCATGTTTGAGAGCAGTGACTGTTGCTGCACTTGTACAGTACATGCATTCATGGGTGTGCCCATGAATGCATGTACTGTACAAGCAGAAATATTCATTTGGAATTTAATTTCGTCTTTTTCGTCCAAGGAGCTTTAGGACTAAATTAAATGCCAGACGAATGTCGATTTGTCCAGCGTTTCAATACACTGTTATAGTCCATGGACTAAGTTTTCAACCGGACGAAATCCCTTTCTTTGGAGTTGGACGAAATTATTGACCGACGAAATTTTCTGCCTGTACAGTATACACCCATGAAAGTACCATGAATGTAAGTACTAGTATGCTCGAGTTCCACGTGCGCACAGCAAACACAAAGTACATCTACACAAACTGATATGGTGAGCCAAAGGAAAATATGTTACACAAGGCGAGCGGTGGGTCACAAGTTATGCGTTAGGGCCCGGTCACACATGCACTCAAAAAGTAGGGGATCCGATGAAGCGACGCCGCAGGAGCGGAAAATACCGTGGCAACTGCAAGAAGCAGAACTATGGCTCCAACGGACATTCAAATCCACTGCCTCCAACATTTTGGGAGCGAAACTCTCGCTTCTGCGGTTTCGCTTCCGCGGAAAACACCACGATCTGCTGTATATGGACTTGCTACGAGAAATTTGTATGCGTATCATGTCCATGCAACACAACTATGTGCAAGATGGTCATTGACCTCGTCTATTCTCCGTACCGTATGCACCATAGTCAACTTTACTCTCATTTTCAGCCGAAGGAGGAGTTTGCCCTGTTTGTATGTGTGACCATACACACGTGGTTCCGCTGGAGCGACACCAGGCTCGCTGCCGCGGAACCTCGCCGCCGAAGCAGAACCCCAGTGCATATGTGACCGGGCCCTTAGCGTCCTCCAACTAAACCAGGTTTTGAACAGTCAGACGTGCACAGGGTAGCACCAGACTGACAAGGAGTACTGAGACATTCCACGGCTAGGCAGTGAGCTTGAGCACTGCTCTAACACATAACTTGTGCCCCACCGTTTTCGAAAAATAAAAACGAGCACGATGCGGCACACATCACGGCAAGGAAACCCGACAATCTACAATCTACCATCGCCAACTCACCTAGCATGTGAACTGGACGATGAGGGCCGACTGGACCCCCCCCCCCCCCCCCGACACACAATACAATGCAACGCGATACAGCGCAAAGGACACCATACTCACTGAGAGGTGTTGGTGACGACGGTTGCCGAGGCCGACGCCGCGACGTCATCGGGCTTGCCATGCTGCCGGCCAGCGACTTGGATGCCATCGCCGACGGGTTGCTATGGTGACGATGCCGGCCGAGACGCGAGTCGCCATGGTGCGACGATAGCTCGCTCTCGAACGAGCCGCTGCGTGGCAGGCGTGCTCCGAGGAGTGATGACGAATGGATGGCCGGGGCCGAGGTGCGTCGTGGCGATTCCTCCTCCGTTAGTGACGGTAGGGAACGGCTCAGCGAGGAGAAGTCTCGCAGGCTGGTGATGTGCGACGATGTGGAGCTTGAGCCACTTCTACTCGCTCTAAACATGCTGCTAGTTGTCTGGTGTGGGTACGACTCACTCAGATACTCAGCGGACGAGGATGAAGACACAGACCCATTTGTACTAGTGGCGCTGCCTAAGTAGATCGAGGGGATGTCATCGTTGCTGGATGACTCTGCACTCGCGATGCGTCGTATGGGCTCCGGCGAGCGCTGAAGGCGCGACGACGCTCCGCCACCGCCGCTACGTTTCGCCGGAGAGAGCGATTTTCTCCGCTGAGTTAGCAGCGGTGACGGACATCGCTCGATTCGATCCACGTCCGCTAGTGGCGAGCATCGACCTTCGTTAGCATCGCCGCTGCTGACACCTGGTCGTAAGGGTGCTGGACGTAGAGGCTGCGTTGTTTTCTCGGTGTTGTTTGTGATGCTCGGGAGTCGCAGCTCCACTGCTGGGGGTTCGTCCAATGGCGGCAGACTGTTGCCAAGTGCGCCAGCGCGATAGCGGGGGTTCCGCTGACTGCCAGGCAACAACACAGGTGCCAGAGGTCCTTTGCGCCTGCTGAGCGGAGAAACAGAGTCGGAGGACGACGAGGGACCTGGGCGATCTTCACCGTACCTAGTCTCCATGCTCAATCCGTGGAGCGCAGTGATTCGACTTCAACTGAGTTAGTTCAACTCACCCAAGTGACGGCCACAACGCCGAACCGTCAGCAGAGCGGTATTTACACGACGCTGAAATCAGGGCGCAGTCAACTATACTACTAGTACTACTAAATCAGGTGCCCAAACTAAGTAAAATCCTGTTCCTTCCTCACAGCACTCAGCAGGATATGACGATTTCACGACTACCTTTTTGCAGCTTCAGCGCTCGACTGAGTGAGGTACCTGTCGCATGCCGTCCGTCCACTCACCACGCAGCAGCAGCTGATCGCTGAGTCTGCACACTCGCTACACGACCTGCTCAGTTCGCAATAAAACAGCTGAGCTGCAGTAGTGAGCAGTGAGGCCACGCGCGCGGTCTTTCCGGGAGAGGACAGAACAAGATTGTGCGCGAATGGTCAGCACTACAAGTACTGCCGCCTGACTGCCACTCACTGCAGCTTTGTCTTTCACTCGAAGAAAGGATCAGATAAAAATCGTAGCACTAGCTCTCAGCGACACAGTCATTCTCGTTTCGTTTCATATCAGGAGGGACATGTCGACAGGCAAGGTCATATCAGGGTAAATCTACCGTGTAGCAGGCAGAATGCTTCAAAAACGGGATGGACCCCCGGCCAACAAACAACCCGCATCATCAGTGCACCACAGTCTGATGTAGCACAACACATGGAGCGCAGTGCGCAGTGCAGAGTTCGTGAAACACGTGAGAGTTGGACGGCGCTGGCAAGGCGTCAAGCATTTTCGGCGCTTTTTGCCTCCCTCACGTGCACACTGCGATTGTTCAGAAAAGCGATCCTGTCAGCTTTGTTGTGTTTTAGTAGGGACTAGGGTACGTGCAGTGCACTTCTCCTTTTTGTTCTGTATGGATTTTTCTGCTTTCGAGCGAAGCCTGGGATCGACTGCCCCTTTCAAGTAGTTTGAATGGCTTGAATCATTGAATGGCTGCCTCTTCTGAGCAGCTGGCCTTGCCCGATGCCTCGAGTACAGTCAGACTGCTTTTATCAGGCTAGACCTTTTCGACGTGCATGCATGTCACTCTATCTGTTTTCAGTCTTGGATTAGGAGTATATCCGTGGTGTGCTCTCAAACACTACACTTCTACACTAGCACTCTACACTGTAATATTTATCAAGCTATTACCGGTAATTTTGGGTATTTCTCTCTGATGGAGTATTGTGCAGACCTGGAGCGTAAGGAGAAGACCTCTCCACCAAGATGAAAAAGATTGGGCAGAAGCGATCGAGGCGAGCGAGCGGAAAGACCTACCATCTCGCCGCAGAGGCATTCACTAATTCAGCCACCCACGAGTGACGACCGAAAGTATTGAATACTGAGACCAGCGAGGCGTGCGTGCAGGGTGCGGTAAACTGTGGTTGGTTCGCCACTGACGTCATGACGTGGAGGTCGGCACAAACTTTGGCTACAACACCAGGCTCGCCCCGGCCCCAGCAAACGCCCAATGGCGGAATTCAGGTAGAGATTGCCGACAGTACCGTACCACTCGCTTGCGTGCCAAACTAGATCATCCACATGCATGGCATGCACGAAGTCTAAACAAATATTAATTTTCGTAACCCTACATTCATGCATGCTTGCATGATAATGTTATGTATCAGATGTACTACTAGCATGATGTGCAGCCGTAACACTGGTAATAGCAGAGCAATGATTATGTGCAGGAGAAAATTAATGGTACATGGTCCACGTCGAACAGTCATCAGATCATTACAATCATTGGGCGCGTTCGATTACACACATTTCGGTCAATTCTAGAATAATTATTATTCGTTATGGTGCATGCACCGTTCGATTACACAAATTCCGTCGTCAGAATCGACGAAATCCAATTCCGTCAATTTTGAAGAGAGGGAATTGCTAATTCTCTCGCCAGAATTTACGCACTCGACTTACATGTACACGCCGTGCTAGGTCCACGTGCATGCGCGAGGGTGTACGGGATCCCACGTGCATGCGCGAGGGTGTACGGGATCCCACGTGCATGCGCGAGGGTGTACGGGATCCCACGTGCCGACGTGGTTCTCTTTTACAAGGTTTTCGTGTAGTCGTTTGTTTACATGGTCGCAATCCGTTCATTCGGTTCATTTGAAACCTGGGTTCGGAACGTGTGACTGTGTGATCGAAAGCACCCATAGCCCCATCTTGATACTCTGCACAGCGCCTTCTAGTTGGCAGGGACATAGCAGCCGGTCCGGCTTTGGCCTGGACCACTTTTTTTTAACACGAAAGTGCCCAGAATGCAGGATTTTGCACCCTTACTTCCAAATGTCCCCGCGGGAGACCCTCGGACCCCCATCCGCCCGGACCACCTCCAACTGCGCTGCCACACGTCTGGTTGCGATCCGAAGATCTCAACAAAACTTTCTTTGTGGGGGGGGGGGGGGAGCAAAGCAATGAAGTTGTAGAACCTTTAATGGATTTAGCAGGTGTTAGCTAGGGTTTAGCGGGTGTTAGCTAGGATTTAGCAGGTGTTAGCTAGGGTTTAGCGGGTGTCAGCGGCCCCCGTCATGAGTTCCCTTCTGGAACGGATACGATACTTTACTTTTTTTTTAAGACTTACTACATACATGACAGGGTAGCATGAAGCCATGTCCAGTTTATAGAAAGTACTGGTATTCTTGGTGGCCAGTACTAGTAGCTAGAAAGAGTTAGTTACATGTACATCCGCAAGAGTACTTCTGGCAGCCACAGTGCGCATGAGACTGGTTTCGTGCATTGCATAAACCAGCCCCCCCCCCCCCCCCCACACACACACACAAGTACCCCCTCTCGACATTCACACACGTACCTCCCTCCACCTCCGACATGCACATACGTACCCCCCAACATACACCTTGCTTCCCTCTTCCTCTACCATGACCTGATGACTGCCTATGAGGCTACGTAGTACGTAAGGCGTGTCAGACCAGGAAACGCGTTGCCCAACAATACAAAGTCCTGCACATGTACAGTAGAAACAATGATGATCATAAACACATCATGTACCATAATTCATCATGACGACAGCCAATTAATTATTTCGAAAGCCTATCGACATCTACTTCCCTAGCAACCGGCGCCGACACGACATACCTGTCGTCTTCCGCTGCTTCCGTTTAGGACACCGTTCAGAATGCGATCGAGGTGGTGCTAGTGTCCAAGGCATTGAAAGTGACCACGTATATCCGCGCTCGTACTCAGCCGACGCTCGTCAGCTGCAGCTTCAACCCCCCCCCCCCCCCCACACACACACACAGTCAATACGACACTGCAAGTGGAGCGCAGCACAGTACAGGAGGCCAAACCCTGCTCTGAATTACGAATCATGGTCTGAAGCGCAAGGAATAAACCATTGAAAGCTGCGAAAGGCCGCCTAAGAAAGAACTGCATTGAGCCCGTGAGCGCTAGAGCAAGAAACAGGGCCATTGGCTAAAAACTCAACACGAGAGAATCACCGGACTGAAAACGTCTGCTTTCAGTCAAAACAGGGGATGGAATAATCAATGAGAGCAGGAGATAATATGTCGGTCATGAGAAGGAGGAGCGGAGCAGTAAACAAAAGAAAGGCAAGCAAGATGGGAACAAGGGCGTTTGCCGTCAAGAACTCAATGACAACTTGGAACTGCCACACAGGCAACGGCACGAAGACATTGGATACGCACACAACGTGATAAGTTAGCACACATTGCATTGGACTACACAGGTCACGGCGGGGTAGATAATCATGACCATTGCCATCACACAGGCACCGTGTCACCGCTATCAGTGACAACCTAAGTGCAAACACACACTATTATATAATACAATATTTACAGCAGCTTGCAAAACGGCATGGTCAGTCCAAGACCAGCAGAAGAGAGTACTTGATTGCAGCAGTATGTACACGGGTAGAGAACTCAGTTGAAAACAAGGCACACGAGAGCATGCGGCACACACGGCTCAACGCGGCAAGACACGACATGTACAGACACACACACACTGCTTTAACACAGAAGGGCAGATCTTCTCTTCGTTGGCAGTGTCGGGTGCAGAGAAGCGTCATCACGATAGGAATCTCGGGAGCAACCCGGCTTGACGACTCGGAACACCGAATGAAAACAATGCTTCCATATTATGTTGTTCGTTGTTTCAGGCAAAGCTGAAACCGCCCTCATCAAAACGGCCTCCACCACGGCCTCCTCCACCGCCACGATAGCCTCCACTACCATTGCGATCGCCATAGCTACGACCTCCACCATTACCGCCGCCACCGCGTCCTCCTCCACCACGGCCCCCTCCACCACCGCGTCCTCCTCCACCACCGCGTCCTCCGCGACGAGGTCTCTTGCCGTCATCACCGGTGCGAGCCTTGTACTCTTCGAATCGCTGAGCCATCTCCACGACCTCCTCCGGTACCACCTGAGAGAGAGAGAGAGAGAGAGAGAGAGAGAGAGAGAGAGAGAGAGAGAGAGAGAGAGAGAGAGAGAGAGATAGAGATAGAGAGAGAGATAGAGAGAGAGAAAGAAAGAAAGAAAGACAGACAGAGAGATAGCAATTGAGCTAGCTGTACAAACATAAAAGACGTCTGTGCTGTGTGAGAACCATGGCGTACTAAAGTTAAATTTAGAATGTTCTCGTACGGAGCTCGCATACACCACCAGGGTGCATACACCAGTACCCCCCCCCCCCCCTCCCGTACAGACGCACAGATACACACACACACACCCACACACACACACTTACACACACGCACAATCCACACACAATATCCCTACCTGTCCGGCTTCTTCCAGTATTACGATAAGATCACTCGCCTGGCGCCAGTTCTCGCGTGTCATAAACGTCAGTGATATGCCAGTGCGACTGCAGGGGTTCCACGTGACACAACAACAACAACAAACAAGAGACTTAGAGTGCAATCACAACGACAAGTGATAACAGATAGGCAGGTAGTGTAGAGTCTGGACAAGTGATAGCAGATAGGCAGGTAGTGTAGGAGTCTGGACAAGTGATAGCCGATAGGCAGGTAGTGTAGGAGTCTGGGCTTAGGACATACTGTAAAACATGAAATTCTAGGTGCATTAACATTTCGGTGCCAGGGACCTGCCAGGTTTCAGGTGTAATTTAGAATTAGGTGACCAGCTTTCCCTTCACATACAGTGCATACGCTTGTGTCTTTTAGGTGTACCGTATTTTCCGGGGTATAAGCCGCACTTTTTTCCCGCTAAAAATCGGACCAAAATCGCCCCTGCGGCTTATACACCGAATATGCTTGCGCGGATGAATGCTTAGCATACATCAGTATGCATGCTGACGTCATGTGACTTATCATTCGACTCAGCTTCGCGCCTGTGTTGCTATCCCGGCACTTTTACTAGTTTTAGTGCGCGGGCTACACCATACGGTACGCGTATACGGGGACTATTTTGTGTACTGCAAGTGCCGGTTTCCACACATCCTAGTATACAGCGATACGATAATACTACTTTTTGTGTATAAATAGGGTCGGCTGGAATCTTTCCCTGTTGTGAACAGGGTACTCCCTGGCCTGGTACATAGCTGTAACGGAACAAATGTTTGTTTCCAAACATTTCAATTCGTCTTTCAGTCGTTCAGATTATTTCGTTTCTTTAGCTATTCTTGCCGGTACTTCGATGGTGTCCTGGAGTTGACCATGCCGCGGCGGACAACATACACCGTGAAGGAGAAGATACGCGCTGTGCTCTTCGCCGAAGCGCATGGAAATCGGGCCTGCGCGAGACACTTCGACATCGATGAGTCGATGGTTCGTAGGTGGCAGAAACAGAAAGTCTAGCTGTCGAAGAAGAAACTCGCGTCCAAATCGCTACATGCTGGACCCGAGCCACGACGGAATGAACTTGAGCGTAAGGTTTTCGAATGGATTGAGAAAATCGATCAGATGGGATTGGATTGAGTGGCACAAGGATTCGCCTAAAAGCGAAAGTCTTCGCAAAGGAGATGAACGCCGTAAGTTTCAACGCAACTGTTAGTTGGTGCTATCGTTTCATGAAGCGACAAAGCCTTGTTATCCGGGCGAAGACTCACCTGTGCCAGCGACTGCCGGACGAGTTTCAGGAGAAGATTCTGTCCTTTCAGCGCAACGTCATCAGGTTGAGAGAACAGAACAAGTATCCGCTAGATCAGATTGGCAATATGGATGGAACGCCTCTGAACTTCGACATGCCCTTGTCCCGCACTATCGACAAAATCGGAGCGCAGACTATTCACATCAAAACGACAGGGCACGAACGAGAGCACTTTACTGTGCCTTTAGCATGCCTTGCCGATGGGACAAAGTTACGGCCATTTGTCATTTTCAAACGAAAGACTATGCCAAAGGATGCAGTGCCGCCTGATGAGTAGTAGTCAACGAGCGGGTTCTGGCGCAGGGGGCCTTCATCACATTGTATTCAATGTGATGAAGGCTGCAGGTGCTCTCGACAATGTCGAAGAGACATTTGAAAATGCTGACCAGATCGAAGCCCAGGAGTTCATCCGTGTGATCAAGGATCTGAATGAGCGTATGATCTTTCGAAGAGACGGGGATACGGAAGCGACGACGAAATCTGTCCGCCTCTCAGTCATGGCGACGAGGATAACCCGTGTTGTTGTGCGTGTCGGCACGATCGACATTGATGATGAAGGTTATCATAAGAAGATGCCGGATGTCTTGTGCGATACTATAGCAAGCCGGAAGCGCAAGGCCGATGATGACCTGGATAAATCAATTGTCACGATTCAGGCTTCGGACACATCTCCTGTCATCGAAGTTTCCAGGAAGCGCTCCTGGGTAGTACCTTCTGTAGATATCTTTGATTACTAGACTCTCTCTCTCTCTCTCTCTCTCTCTCTCTCTCTCTCTCTCTCTCTCTCTCTCTCTCTCTCTCTCTCTCTCTCTCTCTCTCTCTCTCTCTTTTCGTTGTATCTCTTTGCTCGTAGAGAGCAAGCTGTTATCTTATTATCGTCATGTCTCAGCCGGAAAATGATCCGAAAAATTGAAATTACAAGTCAAAATACTGCAAAACTATGAGTTCTGATTAATATAAAATTGGAAAAAGTGAGATAACATTGACATTAGAAATAGTAATATTTTAGACATCGGAATGCAATATTATGATGTAGGGCAGGACATAACACCCACCCCTAAAAATCAAAATTAATGATACATGCGGAATTCCAAATCATGACACCATATTACCTTATTGTTTAGGGTAGAGCATAACACCCCAATACATATTTTCAATAATACCCCTTTTTTTGAGGTAGGGACACCCCTGGCACATATTTTTATCCGCAAAAAACCGGGCCAAAAATAATTTAAACCGCAAAAATGGGGTACTATTAGTACCCCATTTTTCAATAATACCCCATTTTTTGGGACCCGGGCGCCCCCTGCGCCAGAACCCGCTCGTTGACTACTACTCTGATGTCATTGTCCACGTTCACCCCAAAGGCTGGATGGATGAAGCTGGAATGCATATGTGGCTGGATAAGGTTTGGTGTGCAAGGCAAGGTGGCCATGGGAGCACCCCTGTTCGAAGCTGCCTTGTCTTTGACTCGTTTCGTGCACATCTAGTAGAGAACTTCAAAAGACGTGCTCGTGAAACAAGGACCGACCTTGCTGTTATCCCTGGTGGTCTGACATCCCAGCTTCAGCCACTTGATGTGTGCCTCAACAAGCCATTCAATGAGTGTGAATAATCTTGGTTTGTGGGTGCGGCTTATACTCCGAATACCAACTTTTAGTCAATATTTTGCCTCAAAAAGGGGGGTGCGGCTTATACCCCGGTGCGGCTTATACCCCGGAAAATACGGTAATTTAAATTTAGGTGCCTGGTTTCTCTGCCGAAATCACCGAAATTAAAGTTACACCGAAAATACCATGTTTTACAGTAATGAAGATTGATGGAAAGTTCCGATGATGTTCAAACTTCAAAGCAAGCCCGAGCACACAGCGAGTGCACACCAGAAGGCAAGACATGTGGCGCAGGGGAGTCGCGAGGTATTTTAGGGTGATACAGTCAAGATACATGCAGTACAAACAAAAACGTGTGGAGTTGGGGTGGCTTCTCTGGAAATTTCGAGCCAACCCAGTGTGTTTTGTTGATTTACAGGGTAGATCACCTACAACACTGTCGGGCGCCGAAGAACGGCCAGGCTAGAATTTCACCAATTTTGAAGAACGGCCAGGCTAGAATTTCACCAATTTTGAAGAACGGCCAGGCTAGAATTTCACCAATTTTGAAGAACGGCCAGGCTAGAATTTCACCAATTTTGAAGAACGGCCGGGCTAGAATTTCCCCCTATTTTGAAGAACGGCCAGGCTAGAATTTCACCAAATTTTGAAGAACGGCCAGGCTAGAATTTCACCAATTTTGAAGAACGGCCAGGCTAGAATTTCACCAATTTTGAAGAACGGCCAGGCTAGAATTTCACCAATTTTGAAGAACGGCCAGGCTAGAATTTCCCCCTATTTTGAAGAACGGCCAGGCTAGAATTTCACCAATTTTGAAGAACGGCCAGGCTAGAATTTCACCAATTTTGAAGAACGGTCTAGGCTGGATTTTCGCAGAAAAAAAACAGAAACCGTATTAAATCTATACTATAATGTACACTCAGACGTATAACTCTGCATAAATGTACATGTATTAAAGACTGTAGCATCGAATAAGAATAAAACTGCCGAGTTCGCTAAAAATAAGAACGGGCTAGGCTAGAACCCTGACCCCCCAGTTCTTCGGTGCCAGGCATTGGTGTAGTCCAGGACAAACAGTGGTACGGCAGGATTACATAACCCCCAAGAGTGTGCAACTGCCTGCACAACCTCTATGCAGTGCTGCGACGGCAGAACTTCACATTACGTGACATGGTTCAAAAGGTTACACTGGCAAACAGTGCAAAGTGACCACAAGAGAGTTGTACTCAAAGCTGGGTTGCGTACAACCCTGTATCTATCATGCACAGAGTGCAAATAATGTGTACGGGTTGATCACGTGATGTGAAGTTCTGCCGTCGCAAACCTTGGGGGTTATGTACTCTTGGGTACGGTGAATACTGCAGTGACTGTAGCATGTCCGCCGTCCCTGCATACGAACATGAAATGACGACGATAAAGTTCACGTGGCACCGAACAGCTAGCGTGCACTCACCCAGCTCTGCCTGTGCGTCCAACGCGATGCACGTAGTCTTCCATGTTGTGCGGAAAGTCGTAATTCACAACGTGACTACAAGAACAAAAGCAACAGCGGGAGCGGCAGCGACAGAGAGGAAACAGCAGATCAGCAACCAATCAAAACACATATTTCATCGCATTACCGTATTTCCCTGATTATAAGTCGCACCTCCATATTCAGGTTTGAGCAATATTGTTTTTGATGTATTCACTTCAGTAGTAAGTCGCACCACTTTTTTACCCTTGAGTTTTAGTGTAAAAGGGTGCGACTTATATTCGGGGAAATACGGCATGTACACAAATCACAGCAGCAGTAGGTGGACTCCAGACAGCACAATGCTATGCTGTGAACGTTATGAAAACCTTCGACTAAGCACATGCACATAAACATGTTTCCCCATTAACCCTTTTTAAAAGCCCTAGAACTATTTTTCAGAAAACGCGAAATCGCCGTTCTTGCTCATATTTCTGACAATAAGTTGAATAACTCCACCATTTCTAGGTCGATTCTCACAATCCTGGGCTTCCTGGAAAGCTCTATCCACAAGGAATACATCTCCAGTAGATATGACGAGCGGCAACGTAAATGTACAGGGAGCGAACCAAGCGTACACACCAGTGTCATGTCAATTGCGAGCGAAATACTCATCGCGATGCAATTCCCTCAAATTTTATCGCAGAGCGATGGGATTTTTGGAAAGAAGTCGAGATGCCCGATTGCCCGTAGCCTGATTGCATCATAGCACCTGGCCGGCTAGGCACGTGCGAAAATGGGGAAATCCCCAGCTGAAGTGCATTTTACACGCTACAACCTTTCGATGAGGCGATTGGTCAAGTATTCGCGAGGTTACGTACATAGATGACATAATGGTGATGCAATGATGACATCACACACCCAACCCATTCATATCAGGACAGAACGATGTCTATGACACATGGCAAGAGTGCATAAACAAGAGTATGCAACTGTGGTTATGGGTTAGTGCGTTGCGCACTGCCTTCATTACGTAACTTGCCTTCATCACGCTCTGAAAGCAGGCATGCAAACCCACAATTTCTCGTACGAGCCCATCCATTTCTGCTCGATTCTTTCCAGTACCTACGCGATCTCTAATTTTGGCGCATGAACTCCAGTTCCAGATGAAAGTTCATTTTAAACCAGAGGGAAAGAGAGGTCACAGTTGCATACTCTTGTTTGTGGACTCTTGCACGTGGTGGTGGTGGCCAGTTATGGCCACACACATGTAGAAGAGATCTACAAATCCATTCTAGGTCGGGATGAACATTTCAATATAAAGAATGTCAAAAAGATGGCCGGTGTTTCAACGCTGGCGTATTCTTACGTGATTCCGGGAATATCCAGACCTCTGGATGCAACGTCCGTGGCAACAAGAACGCGCACGCGACCTGTCTTGATATCTTCCAAAGCCTGCTCTCTGTCATACTGGTCGCTGCAGATAGCGGCAAAGACACCAAAACACAAACACACACACACACACACACACACACGCACACACACACACACACATACACACACATAAGCACACACACACACACACACGCAAACATGCGTGCACACACACACGCACAGTAGACAGTACCGATGCTCAGTTATTGGTCATCAATATTTCGGTCCGGTGCTACAAAGCAAGAACAGCACAAGTTACGCTTAGCGTCTTGGACACCTCAATACACTAGCAACGTCATGTTTGATGCGTGTTATTTCAGACAAACGGTAATCACAGACCGGCATCACACACAGAATATTCAAAATAGTAATAGAGTACTCACCGATCGCCATGGAGAGCGTTGCAGTCAATTCCGTCGATGACTAGCTCAGACCCAACGTGATCAGCACTTCACACGAAAGCACACAAGAAACACACCCACACAGCATTAGCTGTAGTGCAGATCACGAGGAAACGACAGCTCCCTAAAATACTACCGTATTTCCCAGATTATAAGTCTCAACTTGTTACACTAAAATTCAGGGTAAAAAAGGGGTGCGACTTACAATCGAGCATGACTTACTACAGAAGTCAATATAGCAAAACAATATTGCTCAAACCTGGAAATGGGGTTGCGACTCATGATCGAGTGCGAGTCGCGACTTATAATCGGGGAAATACGGTATTCCAATGCCAGAACAACTCCCGCGCCCATAAGAATCTTGAAAGTACACCAGTGAAAATTCTCAAGAAAATGTTGAAGAGCCTGACGTGTGTGTCCTCTTTCACAGTGTTTTTGCATTCTTGTCTCCGATGAAATTGTTCAGAACAACCGCCAGGACATCGCCAATCACAACTGTTTACGAGAATCAGGAACAGCACTGTCGGATGCCGAAGAAGGGGAAGGCTGGGGTTCACCAAGCACAGCATACCAATGTATACACGGTGACTCAACTGTGCATAGACTGTAATACATGAGAAAAGTAACGGTCTACAGTCCATTCATCGGAAACTGGCCCGCTGGCTTTTGAAAGTCGGATTTGGGCCGAATTGAGGATCAAAAACCCACTATAAATCTCAAAAATCTGGGTTTTGGATCTGCTTCTCCATACATTTTGCCATGGCATACCTGTCCTAATTTTGTAAAACCTGGCTGAATTACAGTTGTTCCACACCTTACGGTTACCATAGTTGTAAGTACGATGCTGGCCAGAGAAACCTGACCTCATGAATAAAGTAGCGCCGCTGCGCTCAAGTGCGCACAGTGTTGTGTGTTCTGCTACAGTCCATTCAGAAAAAGATGAGCGCTGGCTCTGGAGAGCTCCCGTGTTTGGTGATTTTGCCAGTGCTGCGAGATTCGAAACTTGAAAAAGGGTCCAAAAAAGGTACCTCAACTGGGGTTTGAACCGCAAATGTACTGTTCTGCAAGTGGAGTGCGGGGGTTGGATTTTTATGGCTTTTCCCCAATTCAGTGCTTTGGGGGGAAAACCTGGCCGAAATCCTATTCTTGTTATGGCTTGCTCTTTGGATAAATAGACTTCAAAAACACAATTGGAAGAGTATTCCACGGGGGATTGACAAAAATATTGTGACAAAAACTCAAATTTTGACCCATTTATGGCCAAAAGCTAGGACATCATCTTTTTCTGAATGGACTGTAGGGTCACGTAGCGATTCCCCCCCCCCCCCCCCCCCCCCCGGCGCAAGAATATTCAGGTTGGATTTTTCTGGCCAGAACTGTACTACGGAGAACAATGTGTGCATGAAAAAGGCTCTGTTGTGCGAGGATAGCATCCAATGGCAAACTCGAAGGCACAGCACTAAACTGTTGTGTTGTCCCTGACAACAGTCTGGTACTAATACTAAACTGCTGTGTTGTCCCTGACAACAGTCCGGTACTCGGCCACGGTGCACTGGTGGTCATGTCACTTACGTGTTCTTGCGGCCACAGAAGATGAGGACGTGTCCATCCTCGCCCAGCTCCGTTTCCAAGAAGTGCCGAAGCTGCACAAGGAAAATCACAACGGCAACAACGACAGCAAACACCAGCACAACAGCAATAAAACTTCAGAGAAGCAAAATCACGTCACCGTTCAGAGTAGTCTAACGCCAGAGCAGGGGCGTCGCACACGCTACGGTCACTACGGCATTGACCGTACCACTCTTTGCCCCAAGTACCCCGTGAATCAATAAAATGCACTGAGTTGGGTTCTAAATTCCAAAATTTTCGGCTGAGCCACCCCTCCCCCACGAGTAAAATTGTACTTCAGATGGCTGACCGTACCACACTAAATTAACTTCCGACGCCCCTGCAGAGGATCCTGTCTCTATGATGAGTCTTGATGACCTGTGATCAGGGCGGAGTGAAGTGGATAAGAAATCTCTGTACTATGCTGCGTAACACGAATTCAGGACCAATCACGAGTACCCGTGCGACACTGTGGATGCTGTATCTGCAAAATAACTACATGGTTGATCCTCAGCACTGGCCAAAGAAAGCGTATGGAATATTGCAACACTTGCAAGCACATCCTTTCATGGAGTATGTATGGCATAGCTTGGTCAGCACAGGAATACGACCATAGACCTCAGCCAGGGAAGGTGGGGTGATTGCAATGCAGCCATTCCGTCCCCAACTTGAGTGGTACTGGTGCTTATATGCACAGCACACGCACCACACACACAACACAGCGCGTGCTCAGGACACGCCCTACAGGAAGATAGAACGCTGACAAAAACGCATCACGCAATCACAGGGAAAGCTAGAGAGGCAGTACAGTCAGACATCGCATAACCGCACACATCCGTTTTCCGCAAAATATCCGGATAGGCGAGGGAACCGGACAATCGAACACACATACTGTATGTGTGCATGGCATATGGTGTAAATCGGTGACCAACGATTTTCTACCGGATGGCGAGGGATCCGGATAAACGCGGACCGGATAAGCGAGGTCTGACTGTACTGAGACGCATGCAAGAACGCACGGTCGGCGTACCCGTTTATACTTAGTCTGTTCATCTAGAACCTCCACGGCCTGAGTGACCAGCTTGCATGCCTACACCACATGATGCACACAACAAAGACAAGAAAGAAAAAAAGGAACACATGGATACGAGTTAAGAGTAACTGTCCACCACTGTAACTAGATACTGTAGAGTCTTGTATTAAAGCTTTTCTCATATTATCAAGAGTAGATAAACAAGAGTGTGCAACTCCGGATCTCTTCTGCACAATCTGCTGATACCCCCGCCCGCGGCGGAATTTTTTGTTGACGTCACCTTTTTTCAGAAGAACGCGCATTTTGCCCCAGAGCAGTGTGAGAGCACGTGCTGGGCACCGCCCTTGTGATGTAAAGCCCGGCCAAGTGCACGAGGCAAAACTTTCCAAAAGACTCGCAGCGCGTGCATCGTCGAAAAGATTACGTCAACAAAAAATTCCGCTGCGGGCCAACCCATCCCGGAGTTGCACACTCTTGTTTATCTACTCTTGATATTATAGAAGACTGTTTTGAATAGAAGCCTGCTTTTCAATGTGTGTACTATCGCCGGAGTCGCTATCTCTACTTCGTATAGTTGTAGAACGTGATACCAGGTTTTCGCCGAGACAAGAAACCACAGGGAGGTTTCACACAATACAACATGGCAGCAATACTGTAAGCATTCTGAGATTTAGCTCTAAAAAAAACAACAACACCAGCCTAATGCGGCAAAACACGTTGACGACGAAATAGGTCTGACTAAGGGAGCGTTCGCATTGTCTTCATCGACTGTTCAAACATATTTTTTAACCCATTGAACGCTGATGACGTCTATAGACGTCATTGAAAATGCCCCCCATGCGCGGGATGACGTCTATAGACGTCATGGGATATATAGTGATTTCCGTCACTATCAGGTGTGTGAAAGCACTGTTAGTCAGTTGGATCATGATCCTGCCTCTTGTACGATAGGTCGTCCGTACGAATCCCGCTTGGTTACACTAAGCGTCTTTTTTTCTTCTCTTTTCAGCGATCTTTCAGCTGCAATTGCACACATTTGGTGTATTTCACGCAATTTGAGCAAACTTGCGTCCCTATTGTGAAGCGCTATTCTGTTCGGGGACTGTATCGATTCTGTCACCCTGTGTTTGATGGTCCTGGCAATCATTTCCAAAATATTTGAGGACCCAGTTGCCAGGACCCTGGAGCTTTAGAACTTTCTATTTGCCTTGTTTTCCACATTTTATATGCAGAGTACCATAGGCAAGGCCCAGTAGCGCTGAATGGGTTAAAGAGATTTAAATAGTTGACGTGTCCCATTAGAACGGTTTCTATCATTTTAGAGTTTTCAGTGGAATTGTCATGGCAATAATGACGCCCGATCAGATCGACCATCTCGACGTAGCTATTCCAAACTCTTCGGAACTAATCCACATCTCCCATCGGATGAGGTTATGGAGTTTCGAGGAGTTTCGTATTTTCTGAAGAGGCCAACAAGGCCACCTCTTCAGAAAAACGAAACTCTTCGAAAAGTCAAAGAGGGACAATTCGAACGCGCCCTAAAGTGGTAAGAAGTGATGAGTGCAAGAAGACCTTACCCTCAAATCCAAGGAGCCGACATGCACAAGTATGGGTTCCTTCATATACTTGTCACTCAGACGACGTACGTCCGGGGGCCAAGTTGCACTGTCGTGTAACCAAACAATACACATACGCACACAAGAACACACACACAAGAACACACACACACAAGAACACACACACAAGAACACACACACAAACACACACACACACACACACACACACAAGAACATACACGCACACACAAACAGACAACGCCACACCAAAGCAGGTACACAAAGAATCAGACTCAGCTATCCACACAAAATACAAAAAGCCAAGCATGTTACAATCATATAACAAGTTACAATGACGTCCTTCTTGTGACGCCATTGCCCAAGCTCTATACATGAATCCGATCATTCATGAAGGGATGCCCTCACCGAAAGTAGGAAGAAAAGTTCCTAAAGAAAATCCAAACATGAGTTCTAGCTACAAAAAGGTTTGTAACCTGACTAGAAGGCAGAGGCAATGACTCAGTAAAGCATTTCCACATGTTCTTACCTTGTCATTACTGTCTGTCTGTCCGGACGGATATCCAACATGATCTTGCGAATGTCATGCTCAAAGCCCATATCCAACATGCGGTCAGCTTCGTCCAAGACCTGCATGCACACACGCACGCACACACACACACATACTTGTACTTGCACTGGCTCACTGCCAAAACTGGTCACGCGGGTCTCCTCGGAAAACGGGAGAGAGATTCAAAAATAATTCAATGGGCTATCGACCTGCCCTACGGCGGACACCTACTTCTCTGATCTGAAAAACGGATCTTGGTATTACGCAGTACACTCCTCACCCACCCATCCATGGATTTTGTCAGTATCTGTGCCCGCGCATAGAGAAGTATCTGTGTGGCCAAAATATCCCAACTACATCCATGGCCTGTAGAGGGCTCAATTTGCCACTGGAATACTCAAGCACACACGCCCGCCCGCATGCACCCCCCCCTCCCCCCCCCCCCCCCACACACACACACAAGCACAAACACACACGCGCGCGCACACACACACACACACGTGCACACACACACACAAGCACAAACAGAAGGCACCTTCTGTTTGTGTATCCAGACCTACATTGTGACACCCCCCCCCCCCCCCCAACACACAGACACACACACAGACATGCACATATAGTCGTACCAGGTAGGTGACACTTTCCAGCGACAGGAGATTGTTCATCTGCAAGTCGCACAGACGTCCCGGCGTTGCCACGACAATCTCCACGCCAGCTTTGACGGTTTCCACCTGTGCACGGCGATCAGCACCACCATAGATGCAACAGCTGGAACAGGAAGCAAAAACAAGAAAAGTCACGCTCCATAGATGTGTTGGAGCTAGGTGTCAGGTCATTGAATGTCTCAATATCCTTGCCAGTTTTATGTCTTGTTTTCGCACTATCTGACTGTGTAATATCTTGTTATTATTGTCATACTAAAGAATCACCGACTATAATATCTTGTTACGTTGGTGGACTGTTAGTCAGAACTCGTAACTTATTGTTTCTTTCTCTTTAAATACTATTCAGCATGCACATAATGACCATGAATGACATGCACCAGCTGTCCTACACATATGCGGCCGTGCACCCCCCCCCCCCTAAAAGGGGGACCAGCTACGCCCCTGGCAACAGCCCTGTGTGTGTATGTATGTATGTGTGTGTGTGTGTGTGTGTGTGTGTGTGTGTGTGTGTGTGTGTGTGTGTGTGTGTGTGTGTATGTGTGTCACAAGAAAAGTCACGCTCCGTAGATGTGTTGGAGCTAGGTGTCAGGTCATCGAATGTCTCAATATCCTTGTCAGTTTTATGTCTTGTTGTCGCACTATCTGACTGTGTAATATCTCGTTATTATTGTCATACTAAAGAACCACCGACTATAATATCTTGTTACGTTGGTGGACTGTTAGTCAGAACTCCTAACTTATTGTTTCTTTCTCTTTAAGAGAGCATGTCTGAGAATACCAAAGTATGTGTGCAAGTGGATCTCTCCGATTTCGCTCAAAATTTGCAGGTAGGTTCCCTTTGGGGTGTGGATCGACTGTGCAAAGCCCTTGAAAAAGTTTCTGAAGGGAACCTTGAAATTTGCATACCCCTCAAAAATGGCCGAAATATCACATTATTTATGGGTCTAGAAACGAGTCACGCCAAAGCGTATACGAACAAGCTATGAACAAAACTCCATCAAGCCAACATTGCCTCACCTTAGAAGAGTTCCTGGAGCAGTACCGCTTAGCCACGCCAGCATCCCAGAAGACGAGGTCCATCACCCCCTGACGCCACAAATGATCGTCTTGAAAATAGCCAATTTACAAGCGCTGGCAAAACAGCCAGCTACGTCCTCAATTGGCCAGAACTATACACCGGCAGATAGTAGAACACCTCTTCTAGCGCTGAGGACATGTCCCCCATCTTCCTTTTGGGGTTTTCTTGAAATAAACTTTTTTGAATTTTTCCACTCGACCATGCTGAAATACGGCCAAAGTCAAACCTGCGCAGGAAAGCTCGCCCCGTCGCGACGTCTCCTCAGCAATTTCTACTCCAACACTACTCCCAAGGCCGCAGAACAAAGTGTAGTTTTGACTCTGACAAGGAAAAGCAGCGGTGATCACTTGTCACTCCAAACGACAAGCTTCTCCTTGCGCCACCAATAATTTTTTGTGCGACTGTTGATGCAAAAGTGACTGAAGGCCTGAGCGCAGTTTTTGAATTTTATTGCAAGATGCACGGTGAAATCACGTGCCTTGTGACGCAAGAATGCCAAGTCGCGTGGCCCACGGCTCACGAGATTTCAGAGTCACCTTCGTCAAGTGCGCTTGTTACTCGCCTTGAACGCCCGGTGGTCTGGAAGTGATCCCACTTGTGTTGTTACCGCGCTCAAGAACACGCTGGGAGTGTTGTAGGCCTACGAACCGGGACTTTCCCTGACCATGTAGGTCGAAGACCAGTAAAATGGTGATGAAATCACATTCTTTATGACGTAAGAAATCTCTCATGCAGTTCACGCGACAAGTGCGTGCAGTCAGTGCTACTCGCGTGCCAGTCAACACAGGGACCGAGCTAGCCGCTTTTGTCGAGCATCGACATGAAAACAAGGGACTTTTACTGTTGGACTATGTTCGGGATTGCAGGAGGTATGTGTGAAAGACGAATAACTCTCCATGCTGTACGGGGCATATTTCAACGGCTTGCTGCCATTGCAACACTCCTAGGACAGTTTGTTGGGGTACTCAGCAGTTCAAGCAGGAAATGAAGCTCATCTTACCTCTGCCATCATGGTCTGTTCCGAGTAGCGTTCCAGGCACTTTCACGATCGTTGGGCGCGTATCGTGACGCAGGAAGCGTCATCCTACGTCACAGAGCACGCGATCTCACCGTGCATCTTGCAATAAAATTCAAAAACTGCGCTCAGGCCTTCAGTCACTTTTGCATCAACAGTCGCACAAAAATTATTGGTGGCGCAAGGAGAAGCTTGTCGTTTGGAGTGACAAGTGATCACCGCTGCTTTTCCTTGTCAGAGTCAACACTATACTTTGTTCTGCGGCCTTGGGAGTAGTGTTGGAGTAGAAATTGCTGAGGAGACGTCGCGGAGGGGCGAGCTTTCCTGCGCAGGTATGACTTTGGCCGTATTTCAGCATGGTCGAGTGGAAAAATTCCAAAAAGTTCATTTCAAGAAAACCCCAAAAGGAAGATGGGAGACATGTCCTCAGCGCTAGAAGAGGTGTTCTACTATCTGCCGGTGTATAGTTCTTGCCAATTGAGGACGTAGCTGGCTGTTTTGCCAGCGCTTGTAAATTGGCTATTTTCAAGACGATCATTTGTGGCGTCAGGGGGTGATGGACCTCGTCTTCTGGGATCCCAGCGTGGCTAAGCGGTACTGCTCCAGGAACTCTTCTAAGGTGAGGCAATGTTGGCTTGATAGAGTTTTGTCAAGAGTACATGAAAACCAGAGTGTGCAGCTTGGGGCCTTTTCTGCTATGGGTGTCTGTCACGGCGAAATTCCGTGATTACATCATATTTGGCCCAGATCTGAGGCGGGAAATGGCGTAGTGCGTACAACTGAGCTGCAGTTGTGCAGAAAGAGACCTGCTTGAATCCTGCTTGTACGCACTACATCACTAAAATGATGTAATCACGGAATTTCGCCGTGACAGCAACCCATCCGAGCTGCACACTCTGGTTTTCATGTACTCTTGGTTTTGTTCATAGCTTGTTCGTATACGCTGTGGCGTGACTCGTTTCTAGACCCATAAATAATGTGATATTTCGGCCATTTTTTGAGGGGTATGCAAATTTCAAGGTTCCCTTCAGAAACTTTTTCAAGGGCTTTGCACAGTCGATCCACACCCCAAAGGGAACCTACCTGCAAATTTTGAGCGAAATCGGAGAGATCCACTTGCACACATACTTTGGTATTCTCAGACATGCTCTCTTAAATACTATTCAGCATGCACATAATGACCATGAATGACATGCACCAGCTGTCCTACACATATGCGGCTGTGCACCCCCCCCCCCTAAAAGGGGGACCAGCTACGCCCCTGGCAACAGCCCTGTGTGTGTGTGTGTGTATGTATGTGTGTGTGTGACTGTCTTCTTGGGGGACAGTTTGAATTTTTCTAGCTCCGGAATTTTTCTATTTGCTGAGACTAGTTAGAGCCTCCGAAGCAGCGTAGGTACACTCAGGGCTCTCCTAGCTTGCTAGGAGAGCCCCTGGCGTGTCAAGTGTAGACCTTTTGAATTTAGGGCAGCGGATCCAACGACGTGACTTACAGGACAATTATTTGAATTTGATATTGTCACTGTCGCGTCGTCCGTAGTCCTCCATCCGCAGTGGGCTAGCTACCCCTCGGATGTGTAGAGTTTCAGCTTCAAAGCAGCCAGAGTTTGGAGGCACCCGTCGGAGGCGCCCAGCTGGTGCTCTTGTCAAATTTGCTTCGTGGAACGTCAGGACTTTAGTAAACATCGATGGCCCGGTTTCAACTGCTGCTCGTGGAAAGCGCGTCGTGGAAGACAAGAAAATCAACATCGTTGTCAGTGAACTTCGTCGGTACGAAATAGAAGTGGCTGGATTCCAGGAGTCGAAGTGGTTTGGTAAAGATATATTCAACCGTGGAAAACGTCTTGCTGCAGCCGATAGGGAATCACTGCCGCTGATCTGCATGCATTGCCCGAAACGTTTCCGACGACAGCAAGATTTGACGAGGCACCAGAAGTCCTGCCAATGACGGTGCACTCCAAACTCTGGCCCCCTCCGGGGGTGACATTGCCCAATGGGCAGTCATGCTATAGTAGTAGTAGTAGTAGTGTGTGTGTGTGTGTGTGTGTGTGTGTGTGTGTGTGTGTAGTGAGCTCCTGTCTTTGATAACCAGACCCTGTCGTTTCGCAGCAAGAGGCGTGTCTATGAGGCTGTCGTCCTCACGACCCTCTTGTATGGTGCGGAGACGTAGACCACCAAGGCAGGCCACCTCCAGAAGCTAAACACGTTTCACCATCAGTGTGTTCGGTCCATTGTGGGTATCGGTCGTCGTCCACAGTGGGATGATTGGATCTCAACGGCCACATTAGCAGCTACATTCGGTGTTGACCCTGATATCACCCGCATCATCCGTCGCCACCGTCTTCGTTGGCTGGGTCACGTCGGCAGGATGGACGACTCACGCGCACCGAAGCAATTGCTGTTCGGCGAGCTGCCTGCCCCCCGTCCTCGTCACGGCCCGAAGAAGAGGTGGCGAGATGTGGTGTTGACTGACCTGGCGGACCTCGGCGTGACCACCTGGCTTGAGAGTTGCCAAGATCGTCCCGGCTGGAGACGAGTTGCGAGTAGCACCCCACCGCCACGGCCCGCTCCTGATCCTCTTCTACGTGTCTGTGGACGCCCATTTCGTCGACCAGGAGACCTGAAACGACATGCCAAGTTCTGCGCTCGTGTTCTCACTTGAACTTTCCGACATTCGCTATCATTGCGTACGCAATGGGCAAGATCAAGGTGTGTGTATGTGTGTGTGTGTGTGTGTGTGTGTGTGTGTGTGGTTGTTGGGAATACATATTCACTGCTGCAGTGGCAGCTGCTGTCCCACTCACCATCTGATGTGGTGGTAGTCGTATTTCTTGACTTCAGCCTCAATCTGAAGTGCCAGCTCACGAGTTGGTGATAGCACCAGCATGGACGGTCCTTTGCGGTCACGACGAGAACTGGAGAGAGAGAGAGAGAGAGAGAGAGAGAGAGAGAGAGAGAGAGAGAGAGAGAGAGAGAGAGAGAGAGAGAGAGAGTGAGAGAGATAGATAGAGAGAGAGAGAGAGACGAGAGAGAGAGATAGAGACGAGAGAGATAGAGAGATAGAGACGAGAGATAGAGATAGAGACGAGAGATAGAGAGAGAGAGAGAGAGAGAGAGAGAGAGAGAGAGAGAGAGAGAGAGAGAGAGAGAGAGAGATAGATAGATAGATAGAGAGAGAGAGAGAGAGAAGGCTGGTTAGAGGAACGGCTGCTGGAAAGCCACAATGACAATAAGATCAGGTGTACTTCACATAACATCACATCACACCTGATCGCACTGGACCACAGCATATCACACCACACAAGATCGCACCACTCCACAACGTACCACCTCTCATTCTAAACGCAGCTTTTAGTTAGCCGTGGTTGGTTGCTACCCTTCATTTCATTCTCACCTATTGGCAGACTTACGGCGAGCCAGGAGATGTATCAAAAAAATAAAATCATGCAACACAAGATCACATTACACCACACCACGTCATGCCACACCAGATCACACCAGAACACACCAGATCGCACCACACCACACCGCACCAGAACACACCAGATCACACCGTGTCATGCCACACCACACCATATCATGCCACACCAGACCACACCATGCCACACCAGATCACATTACACCACACCATGCCACACCATGCCACACCAGATCGTGCCACATCACACCATGCTACACAAGATCACATTACACAACGTTACACCAGCCAGATGGCACTGCAGCCAGATGGCACTACACTGTCGCAGCAGATGGCAGAACTCACCAAGGCTGTCGATCAAGGTGGATCATGCCAGGTAGAAGGAAGGCCAATGTCTTGCCAGTTCCAGTCTACACAAAGAAAACAAACCACACATGCATACATGCACACACATGTTACGTTCAATCCTGTTAGGTTCACAATTTCATGTATGCACGCACTCGCACCCCAAGTCCCATATACGCTCGTACACACAATTCCGACATGTCGCTATCCGCCAATGAGCAACTTGCCGCTGCCATGTTGATCCCTTTGCCACCTTGTTTTCCTCCTTCTCGTTCTCCTCCGTCTTATCCTCTCCGTGCTCGTCGTTCTCGTCCTCCGCCACCTCCCCCATCTCGCACGGGCATTTCATCTTGGAATCCATCACCATCCTCTCTAGCATTACCACCTGTGACTATTAGCAGTGTGACAAGTTGTGCTCATCAAGGGGTAGCCCTTGGCGGATAATGCTGGAAAAGGTGGCGGATACTGCTCGAAAAGCAGTGAAATTGGCAGAACCATACAAACCT